AGGCTTCTCTGTTTTTATTTTACAGCTAGACTAATCATTTGGATGTTTGATCTGCCTCCAAATGAGCAACCATTTCTAATCTATTCAGGGCAGGTACCTTGAATGAAATCCTATTTCCTTTGTATTGGTTTCACTGGGCCAGGATTCTGGGAATTGTCTTTATAATTGTCTAGAAAGGGCCTATCATCTTGTTGGCGCTATACAAAGAATAAAGTATAATCCTTTGTATTCTCTTTCTGTTTTAGAAATGGATTCAATTAGATTCTTAGGCTATGGACTTTTTAGCTATTTTAAAAGGGGAGAAGGAGCTGCAGTTCAGAAGTATGCAACAACTGTTATGATCTGTCACACCTATTGCAATATAGGTCAGCTAGAATCACTCTAATTTTGACTGTTAATAAAACATTGCTATACTTGCATCACTACAGAATAATGCATTATGTAACAGCTACATTGTAAAGGTTTGTACTGATATCTCTCATATCCTTTGATATCCCTATACTGTGACTCACTGTCATATCTTAGCACTCATTTGGACAATAATGGCAAGAACTGTCATTTCTTGGTCGTTTTTGCAGTCACTGGCCAGCCTGCACTTGGAATAACCTCATACAGTGTGTAATTTTAATTAGAATTGTGGCAAATGACTCACTAACAAATTGGGGTAGTTGGTGATAATTGCTGCATGTATGTACAATAAGGTAAATTTGTTCAGCCTCTGTTAAATCATTTGATGTGACCTGACACAAAGCAATGCACATGTCACATTTTATCATGCGTTTAAAAATCTATACAGATATTTTTCACGGAATGGGTGGAAGCATATGTAAGTATGTGAATATACGTGCTGAGGCACTGAAATCTCCATTGGTGAAATACTGTACATTTTAAGCAAACGAAATCCTCTGTATATTTATTGCATATTTTAACTGGGAAGAAATTGTGGTTTCAGGGCACATAATTGAAATGTCTGCTAAGAATGAATGAATACATGAATGCGTATTGAACAGGTTGCATTTTACTCAAAATAACTCAGATAACCTGCCATTATGAAGATAAAAACACACTATTAAAATTCAGATTCATACTAATTTTATGTTACTTCAACCTTTAATCCTTTGTGGACTGTACTATTTGAGTTTTGACTGGTAATGTGAAACATGCCATGTCTTGCCTCCCCACTCTAAAGATGTGAGTCATATATAATTTAAACTTAAATCACTTAAGTGAGGGTCTAAATACTCTTGCTTTATTGTCAATTAACCTCTCTCCCCACCCCTAACACACACAGACAAACATCCATCCCCCTGGTGTTAAGGATAAATTGACTGGTTATAGTTGTTAGGAGCAGACAAAGCATTCCCTAAACTGTGACATTCCCTAGAGTGAAGAGCCTGGATTTTCTTTGTCAATCTTCTCATGAAGGAGATTGTGAGAAAGAGGGGACATATCCAAATTTAAGTCTGAAATGGTTAACTCCAAACCAGGAAAAAGGTAGTTCCTATAAGATCCTTTACTGTGTTCCCTTATTCTGTCTGGTCTGCTACGGGACAATTCCCGTAACTCCAGGATTCAGGGAGCAATAAGTCAATCCATATTTTTGTATGACATGCTAACAATATTAAAGTTTCTTAGGCCCAAATACAACTTCCCTTTATGTGGCTGAGTAGCAGCTGCATAGCTAAAATTAGCCTGTTATGACGATTTGAGCTCATACTCTCTACTGTGTAACTTGTCTTTGCCTTCTGAGGAATCTGCTCTGGCCATTTATGTTTCTGCACCCAATGGGGGAAAAAAAGCCTACTTGTATATATTTTATCCAGTAGCTATTCAACACAGGCTGCAGAAACACCATTACAAATAGAAATAAGGGCCAAAACCCAGGCCCCCTCCTTTCCAAGGCAGTCCATACCTCACTGAGCCATTCAAGATGGTCCTTCTAGTTTTCTCTGCTTCTCTGTTTCCCACATATATTACCCTCCTGGCTGCCTATATCACTGGCTTCAAGAGGAGGGGTGGAGAGTGTTCTTTGTCCTGCCTCACCCTTGGCTTGGTGGTGAGGTCACTTTGCTAGTAGGAGATACAACGTCAACCCCTTTCAGTCTGAAGGGGGACTAGCTTCCTCTTCTGCTCTCTGGTCAAGTGCTCTAATACTTGGCCAGTAGTTCTTAACCTGTTTGGACTTGAGGCACCCACCATTCCTTTTGTGAATGGAGTGGCACCCAGTTCCTAAAACTAATTTATATATGACAGTGCTTTTCTCCTTGAAGAGGGGCTGGGGAGTGGGTGTAGGGGATTGGCCAGGCAGGGAGAAACTTGAGCTTGCCCGTATCTCCTTATCTTCTTATACCTGATTTATCTTATACCCTATCTCATGGCACCCTTTCAAACAATCTGGTGGCACTTCTGGGTGCTGTGGCACCTTAGCTGAAAATGGAATTACACAGAATCTAACATCTTTGCAAATGGCTACAAGTGTCACCTGTGTGGCTAAGAGGTGGGTAGCTGCATTAGCCTGAAATCAGACAGAAGGTAGGGCAGGGTGGCACATTAGGGTGTTTATAGATGGGCTCTAGGAGGCGGGGCGGGGGGCTTTCATTAGTGCAGCTCTGAGAACCATGCTAATTAAAAGTGCCTGGAACGTCACTTGTATCAGCGTCCCCATGCTGAAAAATGGCTGTGGGGCATTTCTTTAGTTTAAAGCACCCTGCTGCTCTTTTTCAGCAGCAAAAGACTAACTGATTCAGAGAGGCATGACCTTTCATATGGTCACATGGTAGTTTATGTGGCTCAAGTTCACTGTGTAAGTGCTACTTACCTGTCTAAAGGTGAAACTGGATTTGAGCTTCTAAGCCTTTAGGAAGCAGCTTCATTGCAATAATCAGTCGAGATTTTTACCTTGCCAACCACATCATACTAGTCAACAGTCAAACTTGCTCAGTGAAAAACTAATATCCACAGATACTTAAGAAATATGGTGTCCACACTTTACTCAAGTAGTTATGCTACTCATTATCTCAATGTCCTATGAAACAAGACCTGTGATCTTGCTGCTTTTCCATCCCTTAATAATACCTCTGATATTATCTATTGCAATATTGTTCTGATTATGAACTTTCTGCAAAAAAAGAAATAAACCTACTTACTTTTCTGGTGTTGACCTATCTCGTGGACGATGTGGTGGCACTGGAGGTGGTATTTGTGGAGGAGGTATAGTAGATGAAACCTTAAAGATATCAGTGCCATTGTCAGAAGTGCTTTTGGACAATGGTCTGTATGTCTGTGTCTTTGCAGCTGGGTGTGCTTGTGCAGGGAGGGATGGGCTGTAACTGCCTAATGTAAAACACAAATAATCAAAATGTAAGGTTGCATTTTAATGAAATGAGATGCACTGTACTCACAAAAACTCTCACTCATTTAACACAAAAAATTATAAATGCACTTTATAAACATACTGTGATGTCCTGTGCATCTTTTTATGATTATTATATATATGCCCATGCATACACACATGCATTTTATACATACACCCACATATAAAGCTATATGACATTTCACAGGAATTAATGACCAGTTTGGACAGATAATAGCTATGTGCAATCCCCCCAGCCATTAGCTACAACCTGCTATTAATCCCTCAGAATTGTCCTGTTCCTTGTTGTTATTAAATCAAGGAATAGAAAAGTAACATAGATGTACTTTTTTCATTCTTTGAAATGAATGCTTTAGTTTGGAAAATTATCCAAAAAAAATTTCTTGAATAAAGCTTTTAAGAATGCATTCCAATTATGGACTTGAATACACATTCTTGATCATATATTAGACAGAAGTAATGAGAGCAATACTGATAACAACAGAAATTACAGAGTCTTAAATCCTTAAACTTTAAACATTAATACAGTGTTTTACATACTGTAAAGTGTTTTGTGTATCTGCTTCATCCACACTATTAGGCATCCTGCCCTGCCTTCTTTCTGACTTCAGACTAACATGGGTAACTACCTTTCTCTATCCAAACTATAACGTTTTCTTCTTGCTAGTAAAAAGTTTCTGCTACATGATTCTTATTGTCTTAAATATTTGAAATTTATATATCTTTTAAGTGAATGGTATTTTCCGGTAGGAAAAGTAAGAGGATCACAAAATAATATCATTTACACTAGAACTGGAGTGATGTTGTAGCCATGATGGTCCAGGAAATATGTCAAGGAGCAAGGATTTTTGCGGGTGATATCTTTTTTTGGACTTACACAAGCTTTCAAACAGAGACGTAACAAAGCAGCCAGGCACCCAAGGCAATGGGACATGGGGGAGCAGCAGCAACTTCTGGTTGCTACTGTGGTGCTGGAGTGATTGAGTGGCTGTGGCAGCAGCTGATTTTTCTGCCCCATCTGCCCAAAGTCAGTGTTTGAGATGGCTGCCTTGGTCTCCACACCCTAGTTACACTAGTGTTTTTTATTCCAATGCATTCAACCTGAAGAAAGATGCAGTGCATTGAAAAGCTTATCTAAGTCTATCCTAGCCATGCAGTAGGTCCAATAAAAGATATCACCCATAACAATCCTTGCCTCTCCATCATTTTACTAAGTGTTCTTGATGCACAGTTTAAAAAATATGGCATATCTTTATTTTTATGTGTGTATATAAGCACAGTTTATATTTTCAAACTGTACTGTATTATTTAGTTTGACATTCCAGGTTCAAAGTATTCAGGGTCATTAGTGAGAATAAATTACATTTAGTCAGCGACTACAGTTTCAGTTATAATACTTCCTCTCTGTTCTGAAAGGTCCACGTCTGCAATAATTTTCCAATTACTTCTGTTGTAAGAAAGAAACCAAAATGAGGCCTTGTTATATTTGAGCACAAGGACAAGGGAAAACAGCAAATAGAAGAATGATGTAGAATTATGCATATGTAAACTTAACAGGAGCAGGTCTGAAGAGTTTTAAGTACCACTATCCCCAAAGGGCATATTTGAAGTGAGGGAATAACTCCTACCAGTATTATATGCATATGGAGTGTGATATATGTCTGTGTCATCATCTGCAAAAAGAAATATAAATGTTACAGTAGAGCAATACCTATCAGTACATCACAGCAAGGAAGCTTTCTTTGCAAATACAAACAGAAGGTTAGTAGGTGATCAGCCTGGTCATGTATATGGTCTCTGGAGGCCATGTTTCCTCTTTACACTTAAGACAGGTTATTCTGTCACCCTATTCTAAATGGCATCTTGTTGCCATATCACCCAGCTTACATAATTATTGGTTCACTTCACATTTCAAGTTATAATCATTCCTACTATTCTTTCCAGAAACCATTTCCTCTTCTTTTCTTGATAGGTTTTCTCTTAGTAGAGGACACCATTCCTATTGTAAAAAAAATCCTACTATATTTAGTGTTGCACAATGGCTACAGCTTGAGAAGAGGAGAAAGTATTTGGCCTGTTTTACATTTCTGATTCTTCCACTGACTTCTTGTGTGATCAACAGGCAACTCATCTGTAAGCCTCCATTTACCTGTCAATAACATTTGGCATAATGTCACTGCTCTACTACCATCACTGAGAGGAAATGAGGCATAATTACTGTTTACAGAGTTTCTTGGCATGCTTGGGTAATAGGAAGACAAGAGAAAATGTTGTTAATAATGTGGATACTAATAATATTATGAAGGCTCCTTGGAGGTCAGTATCAAAGGGAGTTTAATTTAAATGGATAAGTAGGACTGAAAGAAGCAGCATCTTGTCTTTGTCACAGAACACATGAATTCTACAACAGAAAGCTGGCAGGGTAGGTGACAGCTGTAGCCACCCTGGTCAGTCAGACAGAAAAGTGGTATTGGCAAAGTTCTTTGCTACTCTAACCACCTTATTGAACTCTTACATTGTGAAAGATCATAATGTATTTCTAATTTATTTCTTCTCCTTTGCTTTCGTTTTCAGACCTAAAAATATATCAGTGAAAAAAGCCTTAACCTGGAGAATGCTTTGGCTATATCATTTCTTGTACTGGCTTAGCTTAGAGAAATTCCCATTCAATTCTATTCAAATCTCATGTTCAGTGACTGTAAGCTGTGTATTATGAGGCAGCAGACCACCAAAAAATGGGGAAAAGGGCATTTATTAATTCCAATAAGATTTATGTAGCAAACAGAAAAATGTACACTTACCAGGTTTGTGAACCATATGGATTTGCTTGAACATGGTCTTATACCAATCCTTTGGCCTGTCAACTGTCTACATAAAAGAGAGTTTATAAAACTTAGCTAAAGAAACAAACAATCAGCGGTGACATATTATGTCTCGGCAATTCCAGCTGTATTTTTACAGCCATTTAGAGTGTCAGCAGATATGAATTTGGCTCATCACATTTAATCCTAGATTGATCCCTCACATACCTTCTCATTCATTCTACTTGTATTTTTTCATTTATGAATACTTGTAAACTTTCAGCAAGTTTGGTATCCAACCTCAGTGAAAAGACAATATTCAGGAACCCAGGACTGCCATACCAGATCAATATTTTATCTTTTATACTGCTCTGCCTTTACCAATGGGTAGTACCAGATACTTTATAAGAAAGTACAAGAAGCGCCAAGAGTCAACTATCAGCCCACAGGGCACGGTTCTTAACTCCAAGCTGTTATCATTAAGTTATCTCAAACATTCTTAAAAGAATAGTTGGAGTTCTTGTTATCTATGTTGATGCCTATTTTCTTAATAGTACTTAGTACTGGACTTCCACAACATCTTGTGGTAATGATTCTCTTCTGTTAATTATGCATTAGGCAACATTATTTCCTTTTTATTAGTTTTATATTTGTTGCCTTTCAGTTTCATTAAATATACTCTTATCCTTGAATCATGAGAAGGTATAAATAGGAGCACTCAATTACCTTCTGAGTAAATTGTATACCTCTAGCAAGTTCCCTCTTTTCTCTTCTACGTAAATTGAAGTCCCAATGCTTTCTGTCTCTTCAGATGCAAATTTCTCTATCCTTCTAAGTATTTCCATCACCTACCTCTGAACCCCTTTCATTTTTGTGATATCTTTTTGTCATGACTAGATGGGCTAGGATGACCAGAACTGACACAGAGTCCAGGTTCAGAGATATCAGTGATAGTGTAATGCACAAGTGGTGTTTTGAGTGTTATTTTACTCTATTCATTACGTATCAAACATTTTTACAACAATTGAGAAGAGGTTTTCATTTAGATGTCTACAAAGCAGCTCAATTCATTAACTGAATGAGGATTATTAATTGAGAACCACACATGTTCTTTCTCATGTGTTGCCTTGAAATGCAAAATTTTATCTGTCAATAATTGCCAACACTGAATTATATTGCATTATGTTGCCCATTCACCTTAACTCTCTGCATTTCATCATATTCCTTTCTAGTCTCACCTAAATAATTTTGAATTTAAAATATATTCACTTTACTGATCTCCATCGTTTCAAAATTGTTAATAAATATTGTACGCAGCTTTAGTACCTGTTGAACTGAACTATGTTACAAGTGGCACTTTTTTTGTTCTCAATTATCCCTGCCACAGCTATTACCTTATGTTTAACTCTTCTGGTTCGTTAATGTAGACAAGTTCTTTTATTGAGCTGGGCAGAATACAGCATGAAATAGCACTGTCTACCTCGGACCAGTTCATTCTCTCCACTGTGTGATGTGGAGGTTAAAGAACACTCAGATCAAAAGCCCAGAAATCTGTTGAAGAGAAAGCAAAGCAGCCTAACTTGCAGTGTCTTCTGATCCCATTCTAGCTCTGTGTGACCTGGGCTGTATGTAATTTAGTGCGTATGTAGTGGACACGCTTAGGGAAAAGATACCGTGTGTGGCATTACCTCCCTCCACCCTTTACACCATCTCTTCCAACTTCCAGGAATTGTGACTATTTCCACATTAATTCTTGACAGTTATTTACAGCTCAACTCCTGTAAGTCTCTGGGTGGAGCAAGTTAGCTTATTTTAAGACAGAGTAAAATGTACCATTCCAACACCACAGATGCCTGAAGACCCACCAGGAAATCCAGCAGCTTCTTTTGCAGAACTGAATTTGTATGGGTGATAGAGAAAAATCTGAGAATTAATACAGAAGTCCATATGACTATTTCTTCACTGTTTACTAGAGGATGGAGGTACATAGATAACTCCTAGCTAAAATCAGTGTTCTGATCAGCCCAATCATCCAAAGTCCATAGAAACACAATCCACAGAATAAAACATGGAGAGGCTTTCATATAATTATGAGCCAGGCTTTCATGTAATTATCAGCCAGACTGTGGTAAAAGGCCTAAAAAAAATTCACAAGCAGTACTTGGGAGACTTCATGATCATTTGCAGTATTGTAACCAGCATCGTACCTAGACTCCTAGCAGCCCCAAGTGAACTTTTAGTATCAGGTCCCCCTTCACCAGCGATAATGATTAATAATAAAAAAATTACCATTTTCGGGCCCCCTTTCTGTCTGGGCCCTAGTCAGCCGCCTGTTTTGCCCATGCCTGCGTCCAGCCCTGACAATGACGTCCAACAAAAACCACACAAAAAAGGAGGCATTTATGATGCTCAATAAAGGTTTCTTTCTCTTTGCCCTACATTCTAAGTTATGTAGTAAGCAACACATAATCAAATGCTGCTTGTGTTTAAAAGTTTCCTATTTATTAATGGGTAAAATCCAGACCAAAAGCCGGTATAGCTAAAAAGTTAGATCATTTGAATACAAAAATCTGGTTTGACTTGATTTTTATTCACCCACAAAGGAAAGGACAGATTAATTTCATAATTAACCATGAAGAATTATTTTGGATGGTACAGCTAAAAATATGAAGTCACCTTGCATTTTAATTAACTGTTTTCTTGCTTAGAATTTTTAAATGATACTAAAACTGTAGATGCTGTTTAACAAAGCTCTTCTGACAGAAACACATTTTGATTACTCACTTTAAATATTCAGCCTTTATGCCCTGGAACCTCAAAATGATTGGAGTTGAGCTATGTTAAAGTACTCTAACATGCAAGAATCTGACTGACTCTGCATTTCAGTTTTATGCTACCTACGTTGACAAGGACCAAAACAGTGTTGAAGCAACATGTTCAGACTCAGTAGGGAATACTTTGCAGTGACCCCTTATGAGATAGAAATGACATGAAAAGCTTCATCCTGTCTTCCCTGGCTATTGCAACACTGGGATTTGAGGAAAGAGGGAGTCAAGAGAAAATGGAAAGAGATCAAAGTCTGGAAAAAACGTGTGTACAACAAAAACTGCTAACTTCCAAATTCTCATCTGAAAGCTCCTTTTTTGTGCCAGGCAGCGTCTCAATGTACATTAGGGATATCATCTACAACATCTATGCTCAAATTTACTACAGTCTGCAGGCAGCTTTCCTTTTGTATGAAGTAGAAATTTTGTACTGCAGAGATGAACTGGTCTCGAAACATCCAGCTTTCTTCAGAGGGATACGGAGGTACAGCAAGCTCTTTCAGTGCCCAGGGCAGGGGGTGGGATAGGAATCATGTGGACCACTGGATGGGAGATGGG